TGCATTATAAGAATAACAACTCTTTAAAACAACTTAAAGGCTGTGGTAACTGATGTGTATATATGTATATTGTGCAGCCATTGGCCCACATTTCCACAGATATTCATCAATGGAGAATTCATTGGTGGATCAGACATCATTCTAAGCATGCACCAGGTAAGTACTTTTCACACCCACCCATCGCTTTGTTTGTGCTTCCTCCCCGTGCCGAATAAGATGCCGAAACGTTTTTTGTTCTTTTCTTTTCGTGTTACGCAGAGCGGAGAACTTAAGGAAAAGCTGCAAAACTTTAGCAAGCAAGGGAAAGCGGAATGAAAACTCGTTTGCCGGGTTCAAATGTTTCTAACGAGGACTATTACTACTGGACTTTTTTGAATAAAATATATTCCGGTGTCATGTTTTGAGTAATGCAAACAAGTCCCTGTTTTTTTTATTTGCTTCTTTGTACTAGTTAAGTGCTGTGAGGAGTCACACTTACATTAGTTACATGCATTATGCATTGTTCTTTTCATCCCTCTCATCTAACCTTGTGTAAAATAATTGGGACGACAAAAGCAGAATTGTGTATGTACTCCGTAATAAAATAATGGCAAAACAAGGATGATTACAAATTTTAATCCCTCTTAATAGAAATATAATGGCAAAACAAGGATGATTATAAACTTTAATCCTTTTTAATAGAAATCAAATACTCCGTATCAAAATTTGGTTCTGGGAGGGAAGGAGTAAGAATAAGTTGAAGATAAGAATCTATCAAAAACTTATTCTTACTCTCTCCGTCCCAGATTAAGAAGCTGTTTGGCAACTTCTAAATAGATAAGTGCTGAACCAGTAAGAAGTCTGAACCATTAAGTGCTGAACCAGTAAGAGGTCTGAACCATTAAGAGCTAGTATATTGCTTAACTATTCAGAGGCAAATGTCTGATAAATTCAGATAAGAGGTCTTAACCATTCAGACTCTGTATAATACTTAACCATTCAGAGGCAAATGTCTGAACCATTAAGAGGCTGCAACAAATAGTCTGAACCATTAAATGCTGAACCATTCAGACATCTGAACCATTAAGAAGCTGAAACAAACAACCCCTAAATACTATATGCCATTTGAAGAAAATGTCTTAAATTCATTGGTTTTAGTTCAGCAAAATTCAGTTATTTTCTTCTCAAATCTTTCATTTAAAAGGAAAAATTACTCAGAATAATCCGAATTTTTTCCCTATCATCCCCCTAACACTAGATTCGTACAGCACACTGTTGAAAACTGGTGTAAAATAATTGGGATGACAAAAGTGGAATTGCATAAACTCCGTAATATAATAATGGAAAAAAAATCAATCTTTTGCAAGTGCTCAAATTTAAAACAGAAGACACAAAACTCCGTGAAAACGGTTGAATCCGGATATAATTGTGTTCTGCTACCTGCTCGAATAGTACTCCAAATTTAAATGGTTTGTTGTTATGGTTTACGATGTTTGACAGAAGTTATTTTCAATTATTTTATATGAAAAAATTGTATAATTTAAAAGAAAAATGCTAGGGGTACACCAAAGGTGTACCCCATTTGTCTCCCACTCCCTCCATCACCACAAAAAAAGGCAAGAAAATAAAAAAAATTAAACAAATAAAAATAAAAAAAAATTGTATGGTAGAGAAATGGGTGGGGGACAAATGATGTACACCAAATGGTGTACCCCTAGCATTCCTCAATTAAAAAATAAAAATTACATATTTAAAAACTATATCAAATGATCTACAACATTAGTGGTGACATGAGTATATTATATTATAAAATGACTAACGAAAATAAGAAAATAAAGTAAATGAAATTTGATCCTGTGAATAGTAAACATGCAATTTAATTTGGGACAGAGGGAGTAGTTAATGTTTGAGACCACATTCTTTAAAAAGATTACACATGGCAAACTTATATATAAATCTGATAAAAAGTGAATTGATCCTCTTTTATTCGATACCTGACCTGAAATAATTGGGTTTTGAATAAATGTTTTGCTAACCAAATCCAAACTATCCCACTAAAAATCATTCTAGACCGAACCTGAACTTGACCTCACTGACGAATTAACGTAATAGTTTTTCAAAACATGTACTTTAATACGAAAAATAATGTGATAAAAATAAATTTATGCTTTTATTTTTTTCTTGTTACTTATTTTTTGTGTATAAACATATAATTTCAAGCATGTTTTTAATGACATCACAAAGTTATCTTACATTTTTTCAAAATTGGGATATATTTAATTTTTTATATTATAATATTATTAAATGCCCCCCTATCCCAAAAAAGACTTCTCATTTCCTTTTTGACGTCCACAAAGAAGACTCTTTCCAGTTTCACAAAACTTTTTGTAGCTCACAATATTTATCTCATCAGTATCACTTTCAACCACATAATTTTACTTTTCTTAAACATTGTGTCAAACCAAGTGGGGGACTTTATTTTGGAACGGAAGGAATATATCTAATAATTAATTAAAAATTCGTAATAAAACATTCTAATAGCCTAATATCTTTAATATAATCCATCCGTTTGGAAATTAATTGCTTAGACACTATTCACACAGTCATATTTTATTCAATTTGTTTGCTTATTTTCATAACTCATTTAATAATATAAGGCATTAATGTCACCACTTGTTTTGAAGAATCTTTAATGTATACATTTTATTTTTAAATTTCTACATCTAGAATCAAAGAAATTGAATTGAAAATAAATTCAATCAAGCCTTGTTAACCAAAATGGGAATTCAATTCGAGACGAAGGGAGTATTTATATTTATTAATTTTTTGCAAAATGAAAATGTTAGTATGAATTTAAATATTCTAAAAATAAAGTTCATAAGCGATGAGTTGAGTCGAACACGATGACACTGAGTCATAAACATGGAGTTCTTTACTCAAACTCAAGCTTATCTGAACTTGATGTAACTTAACTCCTAAGTGACTGAACCCAAATTGACTAATTTGTCACCTCTACCTATATCTTATATGACATGCAAGTTTTATGTCATTCATTTTCAATGAATTTAGTCAACACAAAAGGCATTACTTTTATATGTAATAAATGTATTCATAACATTAACTAAAATTAAGCACAGTATAAACTAATATGAGTGTTGCTATATCCACCATCATTATTGTAAACCTCACTTCATTTATATGGCTAAACCGACAATTTTGGCTTTAAAAACACAAAGATGTTTGCCAAATTTTAAGGATATATTTGTTCATTTAACATAAATATTGTGGATTCAACCAAAATAGTAGTGGATATAGCCAAAATTTGACCATTAATTAAACAAAATTTAAATGGAGCATTAGATACAAAATAGTTTTATTAGACTTATCGCAGAAACAGATAGAAATGTTAATACACATAAAAAAATCGGTTACATGTTTGGTTTGTAAACATGCGAGAAATATGAAGTCACACAATAATAAACTTCTAACATGTTGGACAGATTTTTTTAAAATAACAAATTCATACTTATCAATCACATAACCAAGGTCAAACTTAAGACATTTAACCAAGTTCTGCTCTATAGTTCGAATTAGATCGGTCATTCTTTATTTATTTGCTCATCGTTATAAACAAAAAGTCAGTCTGAATTTTTGTTAGCAAAACGATAAATTGAGATGTTCTTTGGCGATGCCGGATACAAAGTGCTTCGGTTAGGAACTAGAACCGGTGGAAGCAAATGTGGGGTTGAAATCCTTGATCTCTTTGCATGCAATTAAGTTCACTTTAAGATACAGTTTTGATATATCGTATTTTTATAACACCTACCAGTATTTATTTGAAATTGTACTTAATTTGATATCAAAAATACAAATAGTGGTGACTTGACTACATTATTTAATCAAATGATAATGAGAATAAAAAAGTGAATGATATTTAACCTTGTGAATATTGAATAGATAATTTATTTTGAGTAAATTTCATAATTGGTCATTTATAGCAGGGGAGTTTCCCTATTTAGTCCTCTATTATCAAATATTACCCCAGTGGTCCTTTTTTTACGGGTATCTTTCCACAAATTGTCCTTTTTTGATCTTCCATCATGTTGGTGTTAATGTGAGGGCTAAAAGTGTAATTTTACAATGATAATATATCTTTTTTGTCATACACAATTCTAAAGGTTGTTTTGTTTGCATCGTTTGTGAATTACAGTCGCTTTCTACTACAACCATAGTCTACAAATGTGGTCTTTCGTCGGAATCCTAGCTCACAATCATAGTCATTATTTTTGTGTTATCCGCTTAACCAATATCAGAACACGTCACTAGACATAATATTGATGTCAAATTATAATGTGAGCCTTTAAATTAACACCAACATGACAGAAGATCAAAAAAGGACCATTTGTGGAAAGACATCCTTAAAAAAAGGACTTCATGGGTAATATTTGATAATATAGAACTAAATATGGAAACCATCCTTTTATAAAGGACTAATTATGAAATTTACTCATTTATTTTGAACGAAGGGAGTATCAATTATTGGTGGACTATTTTTTTTTCTAAAAAACAGTTATTTAGTGTAAATTTAAGTGGTGGAATACTTGAATTGGTGAAACAATTTTCCATTGAAAATTTGAACTAAGTTAATCATCTTTCTTTTTCTCTCTTTCGTGTTCGTCGTTCGAATCCTCCACCAGAAAAATGTCGGCTTTCATAAACATAAGTTACAAAGACCACAAGCATTTATATGACCTTTACACTATATTGTTCAAAAAAAAATTGGAAATAGAAAAGAAAATAATTTTCCCAACCAAACCAGAGTTTGATTCTCTTAGTACATTTTATCTTATAATTTTCTTTTCCTTCCACTTTTCTTTCTCTCACCAAACAAGAAAAAATTATTTTCAATCTCATTTTCTTTTCTTTTTCCTTACAAATTCTTTGAACCAAACACAGTGTTAGAAGATTGGTCAGATAGAAATGTTTCGTAGATTTAAGATGAATATAATAGAATCTGCAACCAGGTCAAAGCCTCTTGGAATTTGAATGCGTAACTACAATTGAAAACATCAAAAATGGTGTTGTCTATAGAGGGTCTACTAAAGTATATTACTGAATTAACAGTTTGTGTTTTGCTAAAACAATACAAAAAAACAACACAGATTCCTTAAAACTTGAATGAGGAACAAACATGATTACAACATGGGTAAGAAAAACAAGGACTAGATAGATAGGATGAATGCCATAGAAATGGATCACCTATTGCTGCTGCTTGTCGAGCATAAATATCGAAGCATATATTCATTTGAAGAACAAGTATCAGCCAAATCTTGATGCAATCTGGTAACTGCTTTCTGCAACGATTTCAGAGCAGGAAGCAAATTTCTTGAATTCTGTTGAATAGACTGGCCATGGGCTTTGCAGATTTCCTGCAAGAAACCAAATTCCGCATTTCAGAACAAACCCCACATATGATGTTGATGAGATAAAAGACCTCATCCGCATGGGACAGCGCGTGAAACGAATAAGTAAAAGCAGTCCAGGTACAGAAGAAGATGAATGAAAGGGTTCTTTTTGGGTGAATAGAATATAACCTGACACCAGATAAGAATAAACTCCAAATGTGGACAGTTTTCCAGGAGATCCGAAAATGCCAACACTAATCTTTGCAAGTATTTGAACGGTACTGATGAAGCTGTGGCGGGTATATCTTCCGGGCTCACGGCAATAATGCACTTCTTCATTAAAGCATCTTCGTTTAGACGTAGACTTAGGATCAGTGCTCTTAATGTCTGCCCTTCACATAGTGCAGCATTCACCACCTATGAAACAACAAGGTAGAGAATTATATACTTCGTATTTAGCAACCTCAGGAGAATACAAAATGAATTAATATTAATAGTAAAAGGCCGCTTTAGTCCATTGACTATACACTCTTTCCTAACATAGTCCTTTACTTTTTTATCGGGCTCTTTCCAACCCTCGACTATAAAAAAGATGCTAGATTTATGCATAGTTATCACGGCGTCGCCTAGGCGTCCAGGCGGCATGTTTTTCTCTCCATGGCCAATCGACTCGCCTAAGTTTCAATGCCTCGCCTAGGCGTCGCCGTTAGGAAGACTTGGCGTCCAGGCGCAGCGCCGTAGACGACTAACGCCGTGAAATTAAAAAGTCTTGTTTTTTTAAAATAAGTCGTCGGGTCGGAAGCCCATTTTTACTCCAAATTACGGAGTAAATTAAAACCCTACCTCTTTCCGAAGCTCTTCCTAACTCGCCGCGTTCAAATTGCGATCGCGTACCACCTCTGTCGATCGACAATCTCCTTTGTCATCTCTTTCGATCCCATCTCATATTCTCGCATTAGTTTTATTTTATTGGGCTTCGAACCCTTTTTTCTGTAATTGGGTTTCGATCCCTTTTTTTAAATTGGGTTTCGAACCCTTATTCTGTAATTGGGTTTCTATCCCTTATTCTGTAATTGGGTTTCGAACCCTTTTTAATTGTTTTATGCCATGCGATAATGGAGTTGTGTTTCAGAGGACTTTTTTTAAACGGGGTTGTATATCTTTAGTTCTCACTTCATATTGGTTTGTTTCAAATTTTCAATGTCTTCTGACCCCAATAAAAAAACAACTTACTGTACTTTTGTCTGCCGTCATTAAATATTTTTTTAAAATCTTTTATTGATATTTTTTTTAATGTTTTCATATTCAATATTTTTAATTCTGGCATGTTTATATTATTCTTTAAAATATGTGTTTTTGAATAGGTTTATAGAGCACACATATAACATTTTTCATGTGGGAATTAAGCTTTGATGAATTTAAAAAAAAAAACTTTATCATCTACAACATATAACATATAAGTTATAATGTGATATATTTATACTAGTGTTACTAATGTATAGAAAATCCTCATGTTCTGCTTGTCGCCTAATTGTCGCCTAGGTGGTCGCCTAGGCGTCATGGCAAAAAACTGGCGCCGCGCCTTGCCTTGGCGCCGTGATAACTATGGATTTATGGCCATAGTTATTATAATGGGTAATTTACCTAAATAGAACTAAAACATAATGACTTTCTCAATATAGAACCATATGTTTTAGTCATTATTCAACTAAATGTCCAACATCACTTGGACATTATTCTTCTCACTAGTCTTTATTAAGTCCTATTTAGGGAATAAAAAAGTTTAAGTCCTACATTGGGAAATGACTTATGTTTTAGTCCTATTCACTGCAAATTTTACTATTATAATTTAGACCTCCGAATTTTAAAATGCTAGAAATAAATGCAAAAAGACTTACATCTGGAGTGACATCTATGTCCAGATCAGTGGGATCAAAGATGAAAGAATCATCCATAGAGTAAACCAGAACACCTTCTGTAGTTGCTGCTGCCCAACTCCTGCCCGTTGGGGCAATCCTCAGGCATTTTGTTCTGATAATGGGTCGTGCCTTATTAGGAATTGAACCAGGCAAATCATAAGCCAAATTGTTCCTTGATTGCCTATCGATACCGTCTTCAACATCACTATCAGCATCGTCGATTAGATCCAATGGGCCTGCTTCTGTCATATTCTTTGAGTTCAAAAAGTCTAGCACCCCATCTAAGGAGAGATTGAGCGTTATCTGAAATCTTCGCAGCAAAACCTGCAATTTTCAAAATAATAGAATATAGTATTCATGAGTAGAGAACAAAGTTACTTCAAACAAAATGATGTATTCCTATCATCATGTGAGGACTATCCTCAGATGTGAGGACTACGGCTGATTACAATCATCATCCTATCATCTACACATTAATCCTAGCAGGTCGGTGGCACAAAACTTATACCCCAGAGTAGTACTAATTGGTTGTAAAAAATTAGTTATTGATGTAAATTCATGCAAAATATAGTGGTCAAGCTAGATGCCAATCATCCTTCCTCCAGATGAAACCTTTCAACATCCCAGGTTCTACAGAAAGAAAACTGCTATGAAACGAGAAAATAAGAAATTGAGATCGTTATGAATGGCATGTAACATTGCAAAATTGATAATGTAAAATAAACACACAATCATGCACACTTAGAAGTTATTGTGCTATCTTTCACAAAAAAAGCTAAAAGATGATAACTTACAAACTAGTTGATCTAATAGTGTTCTAGAAATACAACGGTTCAAATGACATGGGATTTCGATGTCATGCTATGACAATGGCTCAATTGGGGAACCTACGGTGCCCGGTTAGTAAAATTGATGGTTCCCCCCTCCCCCTAACCCTCTGGTAAGCTCCCCACCCCAACCCAACCCAACCCAAACCCACTCCGTGCAATTGCACCCCCAAATTTAGTTGATTTCGGGGTCAAAGTATTTGGGTGCAATTGAAGGGGGTTTTGGGTGGGTGCAATTAAAGAGGGGGGGGG